AGTTATCACTCAACCCGCAGTTAATCGCATTATTTTCACGTTTTTGTTTTATACACAGCTCCATTGCCGACACGTTCCGTTTGATTTCCTCTTTTTCTTTTTCCTCTTAATTAGGGCCTTCCAAATTTTTTGCACTTACTGTGATGATGGTGCTGCCCATCAGAAGCTGATCACAATATTCAGCGTTACTTGAGGAAAATAAGGAAAAAAAAGGAATGAATAAATAAGAAAGGATAGGTGTACAAAAAGAGAAACTCTGTTTGTCAGGACTGAGACTCAAGTAGGAGTACTTAAGGCTGGTTTATTGACTGCAGTCGTTCGAACTTATGTCTATCTCTTAACAGTAGTCAATAATTATCTTATAATTAATGTACCGCAAAAACCATTATTTCGACCAGTAACTCACTGTAAAATTTGTGTTCTTTTTTTTTGGGGGGGGGGGACGGGAGGGGAAGAGGAACTATGGTAATACTGAGGTATCGGAAGAAAACGCGAAAAAAATGAGTTCAGCTTTTTATGAATATTTTTTTGTGACATTAGTGAAACAAGGCGGAAAAGGAGTTTTATATTGAAATCTGTTCGGAAGATAAAATTAGCGACTGGTAACCGCAGAAAATGTATAATTAGTGGTTCTGAACTGCATAGAATATTATCGCTTAACAACTGACACTTCTTTTTCTCTTTTCGTTGCACTTTATTTGCAGCTATAATTAAGACTTAAAAAGCAATAAAAGACGGTAATTTTAAAGACAAAAGTTTTGGTATTTTTAAGGTATTTATGACAAAAAACTCATATCTTTGAAGTGTCGACAAATATTAAAAGGTAAAAAAGACTTGACTTTTAGATATTTGATACAAATAATATCGGTTAATATTACAGCAGTTTAATTGCTCTGAACAATCACTAATACTGTCTATATATATAGGTAATTTTGGTATCTTGCGGTTTTTGTTGCTTAATAAAATGGCAGTTATAAGTTTAGTGTACCGTTTTTTGTTCACTTCTTTACCGGTAAAGTATGAAAAAATTGGAAATTTCTTTTTTTTTTGTGTTAAATTTATCGCAAGTTTTTGTTCAAGTAAAAAAAATTTTTTTTTTTTGGCCATTTTCAGATAATTACTTATTTATTAATTTATCACTCTTTTTAAATGAGTTTTTCTTTTACCGCATTTAGAAGTTCAACAAATTACAGTAGCTGAAGTACTAATTAGTTTTTTCTTTTTGAAGCAGTAGTAAATTCACAGCATCGGCATCATTATTTAACAATTCTCTTTCTTCTTCTCCACTCTTAAAAAACCATAAAAATTTAACTAGTTGTTTTCATATCCTTCAATTATTTTTGTGTTAACAGAATGAAGGAAAAAAGGTTTTTGATACAAAGCAACTCGAAACTAAGTGGTGAAGAGTACTGAAAAATACACAGCAAAGGAGGAGGAGAGGGGTGCTAAGAACAAGTTTAGACATTTAAAACTTTACCTAAATTATGACTTTTTTAACGAAAAACACTTAAGTACTGTAGATATAACACGTTTCCTCTGACACATCATTTTATTTCAAACTTTTTTTTAAGTGTTTCAGATTAAAATTTTTTGTTCGTTTGCTATTAATTTTGAAAGCATCGTTAATTTTGTTGATTATAACACTTTTTATCAATTTCTTGAAGAGGACAGCAACTGTGGGTCACCGGAAGCCAGCTCATCCGAAGAAGATTCTGTTAGGGAACATAAGCATGACAAAACCATGACAGAACGTGGCCGAAGAAATCGTACCAGTTTTACGGCAAAACAGCTGGAAATTCTTGAAGCAGCTTTCAAGGCCAACACATATCCAGACCAAGAAGGAAGGGAAAAAATTTCGCATTCTACCGGTTTATCTGAAGAAAAGATTATGGTAATGTTCAATCACATTTTTTCATCTGTATTGTCAAATACATTCAGACTTAGGTGATGATGACTAGTCGGCGAAAGATTGGAATTAAATGAATGACGAAAAAGAAGAGTGTAGGAGGGCGTATAAACTATCGAAAAGAGTGCCGTTTTCTGTGTTTTTTCTTTTTTTTTTTTATTTGCATAGCAAACCAACTCAAAATTTACCTAATTTTTTGTGAAGTTATTCTTTTGTTGTTGTTGTTGTTGTTATTAAATATTTAATAAAATAAACAAAAAAAAAAAAAATGATCTTTCACTAACTACAGACATGGTTCAGTAATAGACGAGCAAGATGCCGTAAGAATTTGGCGCTGAATCCGGGTAATCCGTTTGGTGTCCAGAATATCTTAACTCCTGTAGTAGCTCCTCTTCAACAGGTAATTTTTAGTGTTTTCTTTGTTGATTTACAAAACGTTTAAATAAGATAAAGAAACAAGCAGAAACAAGAGGAAAAAGTTGCTTTCTAATGATAGGTAGAATTAGAGACAACTATTAAATTTCAGTCTCAATTTGTCGGTTTGTTTCCGAACCAAATGACATTTTTCTCGTGTCCTCCAACATCGCCTAACCTCAAACTTCAGGATCAATCTGTGTTGCTGTACCCACACTTTCAGTCCACCTAAAGTTCCGAATGTTTTCAAATGAATTTTTTAAATTTTTAATAATTTTTTTTTTTTTTTTTTTTTTTTTTTTTTTTTTTTGTAAACAGGTACTTGTTGTATGTGTTTTTTTCTTGATTTTAATTTAATTTATTTTGTCTCTTATACTGGTTTTTTTTTTTTTTAAATTAGTGTATTGAATTTTTTATTTTGATTATTTAAACTCTAATAGTAAGCGTTGTTTTAATTTCTTTTTTTTCTCATTTGGTCTGTTTATTTTTTACTTTT